CACAAAGCTAAGCCATCAAGTCCATTCTGGACTTTTCCAGAAAGGTGAGTTGCATTGAAGAAACATGCTGCTGTTTTTGAGGGCTTAGAAGGTGGAGAAAGAAGGGGCAAAGGGGTGGGCCTTGGCTGCTAGATTTGTATTGTGTGAATAAAAACCTAATTTCCAATTTCTCTTCCCCAGGCCTAAAACCAGACCTGCAAAAGGACTGGAGTAGACATTAGATGACTAGAACTCTGAGCCCTGCAGGGCGCTGGAGAGTGGATGCTGGAAACCACAGCCACAGCCTGTCAGCAGAAGCCCCTGAAGGCTCGTCTCCCTTGTTGACCTAGTGGATGGAGCAAATGCATGCACCAAAGTGAGGAAATGAAGCCTCGTCTCTTGGACAACCTTAAGACTCTACAGGAATTAAGCCCCTAAAGGGATCTTCAAATCCCAGAACCTCCCTATTTTCTTATCTTAGAATTTAAAGTCTGAAACTGTTGGGCTCAGAGAAACTGGCAGGTTCAAAGCCCAGTACCAAGGAAGGCAAGGACCCCCATTTGCCAGCTCTGTGATCTTGGGCAATTTGCTTAACTACTCTGTGCCTCCATTTTCCCCATCTGTATAACGGCAGTACAATAATGATGAAATGGACTTCAAAGGGTTCTGGCAAAAACAGAACACAAATGTTTGTTGGAAGTGCTGGGCGCTGGCTATATCTGGCACCTAGAAAATGATGGTGGATATTTGGAATCCTAAATCCTTGGAAACTGGGAGTTTCTGAAGTAAAACATCAGAACTGCTAAGAGCATCAAAAACATCAGGCTGTGGTGTTCCTCACAGGAGAGGACCAGTGTCCCAAGGGGCTTCTGGGCTTCTTCACAAGATTGGGTGGATGTGTGAATACTGATAGCCTGCTTGTGACTTGCCCAGTAGAGCAGCCACCAGGGCAGAGCTCTCAAGCCCCTTAGGGCTTAGTGATGAAGCCAGATTTTCCTCTCTTCCCTCACTCAGTGACTCTTAGTGGATTCTTGGAACCAGTGATTCTCAGACTCTGCAGTTTGCGAATTGTGGAGGATAAAGGTAGACTCCCCATTTTTTGTTTTGTTTTTTGAGGGGTTTTTTGGCACTGGGGATCAAACTTGGGACCTTGCACTTGAGAGGCAGGCAGTGGAACCACTGAGTTAAATCCCTGGCCCTCCCCACTTTTCCTCCATGAAGTACTTACATGCCTCTCACCATTTGTGAGAAAGAGAGCTGCAGAGTGCGCCCCCTCCCTGGGCAGCACCATGGGTGGGTAACCATACCATTTTCACCTAGGGGGAAGCAGGCCTGAGGCAGGGTGAAGCCTCTGGGAACCTACCCCTCCTCTTTCTCCCCTGGTGTGTCCTGTCACAGGAATCTGACAGGGCATCAGATTCCCTCTTTCTTCACCCAGAGACCTTTAAGTATCCTCTCACACGCAGAATGGTGTCTCTGCCTGCCTTGAGATACCTCCGTGATTTAAGTTCTTTTCCTTTATTTTTTTTCTGACTGTACACACTTTTGTTTTAAAAACTGTGGTTTCTCATGAGCTGTTATCTATTGATACCTCTCACCTCTGTGGTAAGGCGAAGAAATCATATTTTCAGTTGACTCGTAAAGGGCAAAGAAAAAACCCAAAATTTCAAAATTTCCGTCTGTCTCATAATCAAGAAGAGAAGAAACAGCAAGAGAGAGAGAGAGAGAGAAAAAACTATGAGAAACCCCCCCACCTCGTGATTATCAGCACACATACTCATCGAAAAAAAATTGGATTATTAGAAGAGAGGTCTGCGGCTTCCACACCGTGGTTTTTTCTCGGTATAAAAGCAAAGTTGTTTTTGATATGTGACAGTTTCCCACAAGCCAGGCTGATCCTTCTCTGTTGGTCCAATTCACCAAGGTGAGTGTCCCTGTTCTCCCCAACCAGATGCAGGCTCCCGTGGAGGAGATGGCAGGGAGGTAGGCACTGGGGGTTCGGGGGCCCTCCTGTATAGATGGACATGTCCTGGCATTGCGAGCCCAACCAGGTAAGATATTTTTTTTAAAGTATAATAGTTGGAATAAATGCCAGCTAGGTGAAGTACTTAACTGATGCTTGGTCAAGGACAAAGATCAATAAATTGATACACAAATGGGTAGGATTTTTGAAATATATCAAGTGCCAGTCTTGATGGATTTCAGAGTTTTGAACAACTTAAAATGCTGCCCAGGTGTTCCTGGAAATTTCAGCTATGTCTCTTCTTTCTCGGTGCCTTCCATCCTTCTGTCTCACCCTTTCTGTGTTTCTTTTCTCCTCTCTTTCTCTTGACGTCCGTCTGTCTCTCTCAAACTCAGATTCTGTCCATCTGTCTCCCCAAGGCTCTGACAGGCTCCCTTGTTTCTGTCTCCTCCATCTTGGCCACACTCCATCTGTTACTGCCTTTCCTCCATCTCCCTCCCACTCTCTCCCTGCCTCTCTTCTCTTACCTTCCATCGCCCACCTTCCCACCTAGCATCCAGTGCAGAGATTTATACACAGCTGGTGCTTAATAGTGACTTGAGTGTCTCTGACGCCATTTCCATTTTACAAAAAATAGGCGGCAGTTCTGTCTGTCCCAGTAGCAGGATTGTGAGTTGTCTGGTCGGGCTGAGAAGCTAATGAACTTGTGCTTGTGTCACATGAGAGACTCTCCTGGGGGCACTTCATGCCATTGTCAACCATGGTTCAGCCGTGTGTTGTAGTTCTATCCCAGGCTTGCACGCATGTGACCGGAGTCTGTGTCAGGAAGAGAGCACGCCGTTCAGGGCTGGGAAGGGCTGATCTCTGCAGGCTTAAAACAGTACTTGGTACACAGTAAGCACTAAGTGTTAGCTATTAGTATTTTTTAAGTTAAAAAATGACTCTGGAGGGGCTGAGGATTTAGCTCAGTGGTTCCGGCGCCTGCCTTGCACGCACAAGGACCTGAGTTCGATCCCCGGTGTCAAAAAAAAAAAAAAAAGACTGGAAAATTGGAATCATGTTATATATTGGTTTGTTCCTACTTTAGTCAATTAATAGCATTCTGTAGCCCACTAAAAATTGTTTGAACATATGACCTTTCATGGTGATCATGACTGGCCTCACATCAGCAGGAATTATGACTGACTGGACCAAGTGCTGATTATTGGACATTCAGGTTGTCTAATTTTTCCCCATAAGCTTGCCTGACTGAGGCCTTGGATTCTTGAACATGGAGTTACTGGGGGGGAAGTAATGTACTCTTTTAAGGTTTCTAAGCATCTCTATAAATGATTCTTCTGAATGATCCTGTTTTATGCTCCCTTTATTCGAGCTAATCCTGGGTTAATATTATCATATTTTAGTCCTTTCCCAATATAACAGGTTAAAAAAAAACTTACCACATTGTTGAACTCTGCATTCTTTGATTACTTTTACTGTCTGTTAGCCATTTGTGCTTTTGGGGGGAGGGGTAATCAAGTCCTTAGTCCTAATGGGGCATTCATCTTTTTTATTATTACTTAGCCATGGCTCTTTATTTGGAAACAACATTAACCATTTATCAGTCATATGTATATAGCTGCAAATGTTTTTTTCCAATTCATCACTTGCTTTTTCTGTTCTATTTGTGATGCTTAGGATGTTTTTATATAGTCAAATAGGTTGGTCTTTTCTTATATGGTTTTTGCCTCTGGTTTTGTGCTTAGAAAGTCTTTTCCCACTTGAAAATTAGGTAACTGTTCACCCTGTGTTGGCTTCTGATCTCCTTTATGGCTTCATTTTTTCCATTTACTGTAGAGGTTCAGAGTGTGGGTTTTGGAGCCAGACTGTCTGGGACAAAACCAGCATCACTCCAAATCATCTGTGTGATTTTTGGCCAGGCACTTAATCTCTCTGTACCTCCATTTCCTCATATGGACTGTACTGATTATAATAGCACCTATCTCAAAGGGTCTTTGTGAGGATTATATCTATTAATCATGGCAGGTGCTTAGCACAGAGCCTGACACACAATAAACCCAAGATCTACATTAGACATTAAAATGTTTCTCTGTAATGGTTCTGGAGTATATGATAAGGGTGCCATTTCAGACTGGACAGGGAGGGGTTGGTGGGAAAATGGACTGATTATTCATTCAGTTATTTTCCCAGTCATTCAAAAACATGTGTTAATCTTTTCTTCAACATCCTCCATGTGAAATGCTACATTCATCTCAAACTCTGTGCCCTCTATGCACGGGTCTGTGTCCAAGCTTCCTACTCAGTCTGATCCTTAGTATCTGTCCTTGTACCATAGCCCCACTATTATTGTGTTGATGGGTGTTTGCAGAACACCTAGCTATGGGCATCCTTGCCCTTCCCTATCCTTAGTTATTTTAGGCAGCATCATCAGTCCACCAGCCAGAAGGCAGTGACTGATCTTTATGGGGCAGTCCCCCCCCCCGTCACTCTTTTTCTCTCAATATCTCCCACTATCTCTGTCTTTGTCTTTCATGCTCTGTGTCTGTCTCAGTCTCACCTCATGTCTCTCTCTCCCTTTCTCTGAATCTCTTGTTCTCTACATCTGTTACCCCATGGTCTGTCTGTTTCTCCCTCTACCTCTGTCTCTGTGTTTCTGTCTCTTTGTCTGTGTACCTCTGTAGCACAGCCTGTCCCCCTGGATAGAGAGTTGTCAACTCAAAGCCCTGTAAATACCTAATGACTCACGAAGACATAGAACAGAAGGGCTTTGTCCCTCCGCTGCCCCACATCTCTCCTTTCCCCAGTATAGAAGGGAAAACTGAGATCCACAGATGGGAGAGAGGGCCCCTCTGGAGGCCCCACAGGGATGCAGGGGCAGAGTTGACCCAGGCTCAGGTCTCAGAACTCTCAATGGGTTTTGCCTCTTTCTCTCCCACTGTGAGCCTCCGTTTACTGCTCTGGACCTGTGAAGGGGGTTAAGCGGGATCAAAACTGCCTTTCCCCTTCTGCCTTCTCACTTGTTGGACCCTGACTTGGGTGGGATGATCCATAATCACACCACGGGGAACTAGCCCCGCAAGACCTGATCTGGGTGGGACCCTGGACCCCATGGCTTAAGAGTCTCAGTTGGCCAGAGGATGGTAATGATGGAAGGATGTCAGTCAGTCTGCATGTTCCCAGAGCTGATGCTGGTTCCCTAGGAACCTCTGTCCTGGTGCCCCTCCAGAGAGCCTGATGGTGGGCTCCTTTCATGAGGCCCAGGCCAAAGGCCTGCTAGCTTCAACCTCTTCTTCCTTCCATTCCCATCTCTGCCAGAGTGCTCTGAGTTGAGGAACATTGTCAGAATAGACAACAAGGAAGACTGGGTCCATGTAAGTGTCTGTTACCAGTCATTGACATTTTCCTGTTTCATTCTGCCTGAACTTAGGAAGGTGGCTCGTATTCCTGCCCTAGTGTACACAGCAGCTTAACTGAGGAGAGTTAAAGCCAATTAGTGACAGAGGTTGGCTTCAGGCTCCAGGAAGAAAGGGGCCTATTCTCTGACTTTCTACCTTCACGGAACTCAGGAGGGAGACTGAGGGGACACTTGCTGCCATTTTGGGCCTACTGGGCTGCCATTTTGGGCCTACTGGGCTGCCATTTTGGGCCTACAAAGAGTGAACTTCCTGTCCTTCAGGTAGTTCCAATTTGTTTGGACACCAGGGACACCAGGAATACTGAGAAGTTGAATCCATTATGACCCCCACAAAGTTGGTAGTTTTGAGATTCTAGGACCCTTTTTTTTTTTTTTTTTTTGGTACCGGGGATCGAACTGGGGACCTTGTGCTTGTGAGGTAGGCAGTGGAACCACTGAGCTAAATCCCTGGCCCTCTAGGATCCTTTTAATCTAAGAAATGATCTCTTACAATTCTGAGGTCTGGTGTTATACTATTTAAAGACCCCGGGAGTCCCAGTATTCGTGGGACCTGCCTGGCCCTCCCTGAATTTCCAACCTAGAGCCTCTCAGCAGATCAAAAAAGGCCAGATCTACAAAACCTGAAGCTCGTTACAGTGGCCAGATGGACATCACCCACCACATCCGCCAACACCCACATCACCCCACCTGGGCCAAGCCGGCTGCAGGATGGGCCAACCAGTTCTCGGAACGAAACCGATGAGGTGGGGTACCTACCCCCTTCTCTTCCTTCTCAGTGCCATTGAAGCCCAGCGCATCCGGCCGCCATGACGTCAATGGCGGAAATATCTGGGGAAGTTGGGGGCTGTGACAACAGGGCCCAGATGCAGACCCCGATAGGAAAACATAATCTATGTCCCAGAAACATCCTCCATGCAGCTTCTGAGAAACCTAGTCAGAAAGGGACGCCCCAACAGACAGTGCAGGAAGCCGGCTGGCCAGCCCGGCCCCCCAGGCCCTCCATTACCAGACAGACCATAGCCAGGTCCCCTTTCTGAGAATGTAGCTATACCTCCCTGAGTCAGGCCATTTCAGACACACCTGGGGAGGGCGTTGTTATAAACTCTGGCCAAGTGTCCAGGCAGCTTCAGAAGTGACCATAAGCCAGCCACGTGGGCCGGGCCCAAGTGGTAGAAAACATCCACTCACCAAAATGAGTAATTGCTCAGGCTGCTGTAACAAAGTATCACAAACAGAGAGTAGTGGATGCTTAAGCAACAAAAATTTATCCCCTCAAAGTTCTGGAGGCTGAAAGTCCAAGGTCAAAATGTCAACAGGGCTGGGAGGCTGAGGCTGGAGGATCACAACTTTGAGCCTTGCTTGGGCAAAACAGCAACAAAGAGAGACGCTGTCTCAAAATAATAAAAGGGCTGAGATAAAGAATGAGAAACTAGAGACATTTACAGCTAAGTGGATGCACACTGAGGCCATACGCAAGTGAAATAAGTAGGACACACGTGTAAACACTGAATAGTTTCTCTGGTATGAAAAACAGTATAAATAAGGATCAAAATATATAATTGATAATGTGAAATAGGAAGAAAAGGTCTAAAGGAGTAGGGGAAGTGGGAGGGATAGGGAAAAGGTAAGAAGGTAAAAGAAAAAATATGAGAAAAGGAAAAAAAGGGAAACAAAGATTTTATAAATAAGGAAGGGTGGAGGGGGTAAATGGAAGGCAGGGGAATGGGGAAAAAATAATCAAGATTTGTCATGTAGGGCTGGGGATTTAGCTCAGTGGTTCCGCTGCCTGCCTCACAAGTGCAAGGACCTGAGTTTGATCCCCAGTACCAAAAAAAAAAAAATTGTCATGTAAAGGTACAAGATCCCAACGATGAATGTAACTGTACTGTATACCTAAAATGTGCCAATAAACTTAATGGGGGGGGGCTGAGAATGTAGCTCAGTGTGAGGGCTCTGGGTTCAATCTCCCATACCAGAAAAAGTATCAGCAGGGTTAGTTGTTTCTATGGGCTATGAGGGAGAATCCATTTTGTCCCATGTTGCTCTCCTAGCTTCTGCTGGTTTGCTGCTCATCTTTGCTGTTCTCTGGCTTGTGGAAGCAATCACTTCGTACTTCATCCCTGCCTTCACTCATCCATTCCCTTACCCCCTCATCTCAGCACTGTTCTTGCTCGCCCTTGTTCTAAGCCTCCATAGAACCAGACTCCTGGGTTTGGTTTTGTTTTGTTTTTTGGTACCAGGGATTGCATTCAGGTTCTTGCACTTGCAAGGCAGGCAGCGGCACCACTGAGCTAAATCCCCGGCCCTCCTGATTCTCACACTAAGGCTCCAGCTCTCCAGAGTTCAATACCTGGTTGTCACAGCCATCTTCCTCAGCACCACAGCACCACCTCTGACAACCCCCATGAGGTGATGGCAAGGAAAGGAACAGTTGCCCCCCCGGGAACCCTCTGTACTCCTCCAGGATGCTCTCAACAGCTGTGTGCCCAAGTGTTGTGCCGTGTAGTAGTGTGGGGAGTCACACACATACACACACACACACACACAGATACACACACACATACACGCATGTGTGTACAGACCCACTAGCGCAGGAGATGTGAAATTCACAGGCACACACATTTCCTAGAGAAAGAGGAGGCCTCAGGTTCCCATAGGGCCATGGCACTTTACACCTGGCTGTCCCCTTCAGTAACGTGGGGGTTGGACTGGGCAGTCTCTTCCAGCTCTGGCTTGCTTGCTGGCTAGGATCAAAGGACACTGAGACGCTGAGTCCATGCGCTTTGGGTAGTATAAGGTTGTAGGGCTGAGCTGAGGGGCCTAGAGTCATGATGGAGGGCTTTCGGGACAGAACACTGGAAGAGAAGGCCTTTCGTGGCTCAGAGAGAAGTGCAGGAGGTGTGGGCATTCCAGGCGTGATGAATAGCATGAGCCAAGGCTTGGGTAACAGAGACTGGGATGACCACTGATGGGCGCTGAACTGAGAAAGTCCCATAGGCCCTGGCTCAAGGCAGCCTGTCCATCCTTCCCTCTAGCAATTGTCATGCCAGCTCTGTGCAGGACAGGAATACAGAGCTAATCATTCCCTGCCCTTGCCCTGAGCTCCACACTCCTTTATTCAGCTGCCCAGTCGGCATGTCTAATGCCAGACTCTTCATATCCATCCACACCAGATTATGACTCTCAACCCTGCTCCTCCCATCCCCCACATCTGTTCTAGCTGCTCAAGCTAAACCCCAGAAATCACCTTGGTCCTCCCTGTCACCTCCTACATCCAAGCTACCAGCAACTTCTCCTGATGTCACCTTCAAAATAGACTCAAAATCCAGCCAACTTTTCCCCAGCTCCCCTGCCATTACCACAGATGGTGCCATTATTACTTGCTTGGACTGTTACAGTAGCCTGCTCACTAGTACTACTGCCACCTCCCTAGCGCCTGTACCCTCAGAGCAACCAGATAATAAAACCCCCAGGAGAGTCGAAGAATAACTCCAGCAAAATCAGCAAAGACTGTGCGGCCCATGCAGGGTACAGCAGGTACAGAGGATACTGAAAGGCTGAGACCTACCCTGGCTGAAGCCCCACAAACCAGTTGTCCATGGCCATGGAAGTACTGAGCCCATGCCTTTGGGGCACGTGGATACTCCCCTGTGTTCCTGGCATCATTGTGTATATGTGTGTGCATGTATCACCAGAGATGGGTGTAGTCATGGGACCCTTCAGGACATGCCCTGACCAACACCTGCTCTCACCAAAAAGGTTGTCCAAGTCCCTCAGGTGGACTAGCTCACACCACCCATAGCACGTGTAATTCCTTCTCCGTGTCCCTATAGCCTGCCCTCGGAAAAGCACCCGATGCCCAACCCCAGGCCAGCCAAGCCCTTGGCCCCTTCCTTGGCCCTCGGCCCATCCCCAGGAGCCTCACCCAACTGGAGGGCTACACCCAAGGCCTCAGACTTGCTGGCACCCAGGAGCCCAGGGGGAACCTTCCAGGGTCGGGACCTCCGCAGTGGGACTCATGCCTCCTCTTCTTTGAACCCCCTACCACCATCGCAGCTTCAGGTGAGGCTCAGGGGCCAGAATGGGGCAGGCAGGGTGGGGTACCTGGGGCTACAGGTGTCGACCTTTACTGTGGCACAGGGTGGGAGGGGGGCCCACTGGGGCACAGGAAGTGGTTTCTAGCTCCCGGGCAAGTCTGTGACTTATGCAGATGTTACAGGGCCAAGAAAGTCCCCACTTTCCAGGCCTTAAGAGATTTGAGTCTTTCCCCAACCTCCCAATTCTTGTCTCAGGAGAGGAGACCTTATCATGGTTCCATGAGCATAGCCATGTGTCCTCATCCCCATGGGACAGGAGGAAATAGCCGGGGCCCTAGGAGGTCAAGTGACAAGGTGAAAGTCAGTTCTGCCAATTACTAGCTGTGTGATCTTGAAAAAGCCACTCGGTCTCCATAAGCTTCAGTTCCCACACATGTAAAATGGAGATGATCATACCTGCTTCCCATGGGAGGCTGAGGTGAGGAGCGTATGCCTGAGATGAAGAACAGTAGGATGAGGATGGCATCTCACGTGCCTGCCTTCTCTCTCCAGCTGCCCACAGTGCCCTTAGTCATGGTGGCACCCTCTGGTGCACGGCTGGGCTCCTCACCCCACCTGCAGGCACTTCTGCAGGACAGGCCACATTTTATGCATCAGGTATGAATGCTGAGTGGGCTGGGAAGAGGGGGCAGGTGGGAGAGCCGAGAAGAGGGGCCCCCAGCCAGGCTAAGCCACGACACATGTGTGTCTGCAGCTCTCCACTGTGGACGCCCATGCCAGGACCTCTGTGCTACAGGTGCGCCCACTGGACAACCCAGCAATGATCAGCCTCCCGCCATCCACCGCTGCCACTGGGGTCTTTTCCCTCAAGGCCCGACCTGGCCTACCACCTGGTAACACCTCAGCCCACACCCCATGGCATTACAGAACCTGAGTCCCCAAGTCCTTGAACATGTGCAGTATCAAATGCTGTGAAATGCAGTCCTTTGGAGGTCCGAGGCATCAGGTCTCAGAGTCATGGAAACTCCAACCTCCAAAAAATGTCAGGTTCAAAACCTTAAAGACAGAATGTCAAAATCACAGAACCACAGATCTTTGCAGTTAGCTGAAATGTCAGCAACTTGCCAGCAGCAGCCTTTGAGCTGCTCTGCCAGAAGTTTTGGACAGTGGTGACACCAGAGCTCCCCGGGAGTCGGGATGTCAAGGCTCAGGAGGGGGACAAGCTGTAGAGCATTATCCTGTCCCTGCCTATAGGGATCAACGTGGCCAGCCTAGAGTGGGTGTCCAGGGAGCCAGCACTGCTCTGCACCTTCCCAAGCCCCAGTGCGCCCAGGAAGGACAGGTGAGTAGGCAGCCGGGAGAGGACCTTTCGCCCCTCTCTCCCCTCCCCTGACACTCTCTGTTCCCCAGTACCCTTTCAGCCGCGCCCCAGGGCTCCTTCCCTCTGTTGGCAAATGGTGTCTGCAAGTGGCCTGGATGTGAGAAGGTCTTCAAGGAGCCAGAGGACTTCTTCAAGTGAGTGGCCTGGGCCCACCTCAGTCCAGAGGGGTCGTGTTTTGTGGGCAGAAGTCTGGGCTGTAGATCTCAACTCAGGCCTCCTCCCAATAGGTAGGAATGTGAGAGGTGAAGGCTTAGCCTGAGGGTTCAATCCCAGCTTTATCACCCTATAACTGTGTGACCTTGGACAAGTTACCTAACTCTTCTGGGCCTCAGTTTCCTTGTGTGTATAATGGGGCACAACAATCATGGTGTATACTATAAAAAATGGTGTAACTGATACTTACCTCCATTTTACATATAAGGGAACTGAGGCCAAAGAAAATAAGTGTCTTATCAGTTCCTAAGTTTCACACTTGGGTTCTTGAACCCAAGCAGCCAGGCTTCAGAATGCACACTTCTAACTCCTTTGCCCTGCTATTCCTCATGGCAATACACCATGTTATTGATCCCCAAAGCCCTAGCTCCTCTAGATGGCTGCTGCTGCCTTTCTTCAGCTCTTCACACCATACGCACACACGGGCGCATGCGCACGCACACACACACACACACACACACACACACACACACACACACCCCTTCCCTACTTATCTAACCATACCTATTAGCAGCAATTCAGCATGCCCAGTTCTCACCTGTCTGGCCCACTCTCCACCTACCACCCTTCCAACATCATCTCCAACACCCAGCCAGGCTCAAGGGGTGAGCTCAGGCCTGGCAGCAGTCGATGCTGAGGGAGCATGTGTGGGACAGACAGATGTGAGGGGGAGACTGAGGGACAGAGGGGAAGAGAGCTGAGACTAAGGAGAGACTTCCCAGAGAGTCTAAGCTGAGCCAGCTGCATAGAAATCTTTTCCTCTCCAGGCACTGCCAGGTGGACCATCTCCTGGATGAGAAGGGCAGGGCGCAGTGTCTCCTCCAGCGAGAGGTGGTGCAGTCTCTGGAGCAGCAGGTAATGCCTGCAGGGGGCAGGTGGGGCAGGGGATGCTGGGTGAGCCTCCTTGTCTACCCTGTGCCAAGAACTAGCTCACCTGGGATGAGGGTTGCATACTCAGAGGCACAGTGAAGGGTGCTCCCATGGACGACCACAGCCAGTTCAAGGAGGAAAGCCAGTGCAAGGCCTCACTTTTGAACCCATCCTCACAGCTAGTCCTGGAAAAGGAGAAACTGGATGCTATGCAGGCCCACCTGGCAGGGAAAATGACACTGACCAAGGCTCCAGCAGCGGTGAGCCACCTCGGGCCCTTGGGGACAGACCTAGACTACTAAGGCAGGGGAGAAGGCACTGCACACATAGGCCTTGGGGTATGTGGGGTCCCCCCACCAGCTCCATACACACCAGGCCTGAGAATCTCTCCCCCTCTACTCAACAAACCTTCTGACCCTATAATTCCAAAACATCATGCTTTTGAATTTTCATAGCCGCAGCAAACAGCCCAACTCCTAGGAAGGCAGACTGTGTACCCCCACAGCACTAGCTCCCTAACCTGTAGGGCCCACTGCAAAATGAAAATGTAGGGCCCCATGTCCAGATTTCAGGAGGGCAACCTCAGAGTACCAAAGTGTAGGTCCTTTGTGACCACACAGGTCACATGCTCGTGAAGGCTGCTCCGGGTGCCAGGCACTGTCTTGGAGCACTTTGCTGGTGTTAACTTACTCAAAACTTCACAAGACTGCTGTAAGGTAGCTACCACCATCACCCCCAATTCACAGATGAAAACTGAGGGCAGAAGGTTTAGATTACTCTCCCAAAGTCATAATTGAGTGCTAGAGGAGCCAACTGTGGCCACACATGGTGCCCAGGCCCATATTCTAACAAATATGGCACATGCTATTTCATGGCATTGATTTCACATCGGACTAGAATTAAGAAGGTGCAGGGCCGGGAATGTAGCTCAGCAACCCAGCACCTGCCTGGCAAGTGCAAGGTCCTGAGTTTGATCCCCAGGACAAAAATAATAGTAATAATGTAAAAATAAAGTGACAAGCTTAAGCCTCTGCATCACCACCTCCTCCTGCCTTCCCCAGGTGTCATCCGACAAGGGGTCCTGCTGCATTGTAGCTGCTGGCACCCAGGGCAGCAGCATCCCAGGCTGGCCCGGCCCCCAAGAGGCCACTGATAGCCTGTTTGCTGTGCGGAGGCACCTGTGGGGCAGCCATGGAAACGGCACCTTCTCAGGTGAGAGTGGTCCACAACCGTACCAGCCAACCCCAAGCCCCTGACCCCAAGTGCAAAGGAGCTCTGTATTCTCCCCTCCCCCACTGCCATCACCCAGACTTCAGGAAAATCCCCTGCTTGTAAAAGCTTCCTCCCTGGATTTCCATAACCCTCAAGTCTCCTATCATGGCCACAATGCTCTAGCCCTGGCCCTGTCTCCCTTGGGGACTGAAACCCTGCCTCCCCTACTTTGGGCTTTTGATATTCCACGTGGCCATCAGAAGAGGGGGAAACCTAGCTAAGTCATTCCTAAGGAAGCTCCCTTCCTCACCCCCATGCCACCAAGGAAAACTGGGATGGATTCACCCAAGCTCACCAATCCCCTGCTTGGGATATGGGTCTAACAGGATCAGAGCCCGAGGGTCATCATGGCCCTGCCAGTTAGCCACTCACAAGCCTTTGCTGCACAAGTGACTTCACTTCTTTTCAATCTTGGGGAAAACCACCTTGGCAGGGGTGATGCAAAGAGGAACTGATGCAACTTAGGTACTCAGCAAACAGTACCAGGATGTGACCAGACCCAGGTGTTGGTGGTGGGATTTCAGGCGTGTGGATTCACATTGCAGCAGAGGGTGGGACAGCAGAGTGAGGTCCTGGGTGGGGCCTGATTTGTCCCCACCCACTGCCAGAGTTCTTCCACAACATGGACTACTTCAAGTTCCACAACATGCGGCCCCCTTTCACCTATGCCACCCTCATCCGCTGGGTAAGTAGGACAGCTCCGGCTCAAGGAGGACAAGAAGGAAGCAACAAGCCTACCTCCCAAACTCCTGTCTCTCTCTGCATGCGCTCATTGTGGGCTCCTGCATTAACAAAACCCAGCCCTGATGAGCCCAAGCCACGCTCCAGATGTGATTCCCTCCTGCCGGCTTTACCCCAGACCTGTCCCGAACCCAAATTTAAACCACTAGCCCGGACAGTGTGAGCTAGATTCTGACCCCGAATTCGCCCCTTTGCAGATGACCTCTTCTAACCTCACCCCTGAACCCATGCCTCACCCTGCATCTAACCTTGTCCCCAATTCTTTACCCTACCCCAATTCCACCCCCAAATCAGACAGCTCAGGATAGGCCACCACCCCTCTCAGCCCTGATTTTGGGGGAACACTCCTTTTACCCCACCAAAGCCTCTAAGTCAGTGGTGGCAAAACTATGGCACACATGCTACAGTAGGCTGTTTGTAGCACTGAAAACTCTAAGTTGGGTGTAGTAAGTAGCAGTACCTATGATCCCAGCACTTGGGAGGCTGAGGCAGGAAGATCTCTTTGAGTTCAAGGCCAGCCTAGGCTACATAGTGAGACCCTGTCTCAAAGAAAAAAAAACTCCAGGGCCATGGATTTAGCTCAGTAGTTCCAACACCTACCTTATAAGTGCAAGGACCCGAGTTCCAACCCCAGTAACAAAAAAAAAAAAAAAA